ATGTGAACAACTGGTTCTCTGTGTGGATGCTACTTCCTGAAGTCCATTCTGGGCCTGGGCAACAAAAAATTAGCTACCGGTTCTGCTGAAGTGGTGCGAACCTGCTGAATCCCACCACTGGTTGGACAGTAGCTAAAAGTCAATATTCTTGAAGTTATTGTAGGCTGACTTTATCTCTTATTACACTGAGAATGTGCATGCTTTATTCAAGCTTATTTCATATAAAAGGTTTATTACAAGCCTGGTAAGCTATGACATTCACTAAAGTCAGCTTATTATGGATCACAAAATGGGTTAATTTGATGCATCTAATCACTGAAACAAAAGCCATATATTGTAGTTTTATATAAAAAAAATCACTAGGGTGCTGAAGTTTTCAGTTTGCAGTCGTATAAGCTTTTCTGAAATCTGCTTTTTTTCTTCTCAAAAATGTCTTTTATTCTAAGTTAATGTTTATTGTCTTCCAAAACAGAGCTTTGAAAACAACAATTGTAGTTTTAAATGAGTAAGAATCATTTTAGAATTTGGTAATGGCGATTTATTGGGTTGATTCCAGATTTGTGAATAAATTGTGAGTTTTACAGTTTTGTGCCTTCTGAATCAAATGGCAAATTACAGTTTGCTGGAAGGAAAAGTTTTGAAAAAGGAGAATGAAGAGTTGAGTGCAATATTCATCACAGCTTTGTGCACAAAATGACAAAATGGACTTGTTTAATCTAAACAAACAACGTGCTTCTCATATGGTAAACATAGACACTGGCTATCCATCTGATGAAAATAAGCAATGTTTTGCATAGTCATCAGGGACATTTTTGGAAGGTGTTAAATCTCCAAGATAGTGTGTGTGACATTGCAACCCATTCCTTGCCGTATTGATTTTTAAACAAATGCATATGTTCAAAAGGGACAGGACTTCTCCATACCATGCCTGCTACTTTTGACACACATATGTAGGTATTGTTAGGGGGTAGCTACAAAACATCTAGAAAGTGTATATATTTTGCATATGTACATTCGAAAATCTCTGTTGGCTTGAGTGCCGTGGGAGTAAAGTCCGTTCTTCCAATCACACTTAACTTCTGGTAACTCCATAGACATATCAGTATTAGTCTTTTTGGAGACCAAATGAAGTGGTTTGCCATTGCCTTCTTCCAGGATATTCTTTCCAACTTTCCAGTTTTAGTTTACACTCTTGGTATTTTTGGTAGTTGCCTATCCAAATACTAACTGGGGCCAATGCTATGTAGCCTCTTGAATTCATTGATTAGATCCTGTCACCTGATGCAAAATTAAGATAAATTCAGCAGGTATTTTTGGTTGGTTGGAAAACAGTTTTAACCATTCAGACACTTGACAACTTTATAGGCAAGTGCTACCCTATCAAGCATAGCTTCTTGGATGTTCATCTTTTTATCAGCTTTGATGGTATCAAACCAGCGGGTTCTTTGTTTGCCCCATCTTCTCAATCCACTAACCATTCCTAGCATCATTGACTTCCCCAATGTATTGGACTGGTTGGAAAATAGGGGGGAATTAAACTTAATCTAATGAATAGCTGTACAGCAAGTGTTTCAGATTATGACTCATTGGCAATTTCCAGCGTCTATCAAAAGAAAAGTCAAGTAAAGTCTAAAATTGACATTTACTGATGCTGACATAATGGACAGAATGGAAATAACTTGCTATTGTCTTCCAGGTTTATATGATTTCCTAATTTGATTCCTTGTGGCCTTTATTCCAAGTACTAACCAGGACTGACCTTGATAGCTTTCAAGAAAGCCAGGTACTCACCTTTGTTGAGGTTTAAATATATGCCACAAATTAAATTATGATAAAAATACATTATTGAAATAATTAATTAAGGCAAAAATGGAAATTTTGCTTAAATTGTTGTTGAAATTCCTTATGCTTTAGGTTAGTGATCTTTATTTGCATTAATTCAGCCTGGGGTTACAGCCTGTTTCTCAGCTGTAGGTAAAGACCCAAAATTCTTCATAATTTTGTAGAGAATCTATGGTGTTTGGATCCAAAAACAAAGAGTGTTCAAAAAGGACAAACCAGAGAGAATTTCTCTTTATATTAAACATATATACTTTTTTTCCAAAGTCATTGAGTTCACACTTTACTGTCAAGCAGTTTTTAAAAGTGTCTGCCTTGAATACAAAAGATTGGAAAATTTATTTCTAGACAATACTCCGAGAGAATGGACATCCCATTTATTTTCTGTAATGCCTGCAGTGTCAGTTTAAATGGCTTTCATGATTGGAAAACATTGAATTTTGGTAAGATGCAATTTGGCAAACTTGCTTCCTGTCAGGACATTTTTCAAGAGAGTAAGATTACTTGAACCCTTGAGTGATAATGAATAGGAAGAGTGCCCTGATCCTGACCAGAGATTATATAAAATAATATTGCATAGTACTGAGTGGAAACATGAGTTCTAAGTTCACACAATATACTTAACCTGATTATTGAATTAACTGATTTTCTAGATTCACTGAATTAGAACAAAGCATAAAGTAATCATATGGGTTTGCACAGTACATTAAGCCAGTAAAAAAACCTAAAACCATAATAGGGAAACATCAAAAGGATTTAATGCTAACCAAACTCAGTATGTTGTGCGAATATATCCAGTCATTATCTGGCTAAGCATGATGTAGGAACCCAATCACTTACTTGTCTGGGTTCCTAAATCAAGGCAAATCATAGTTTGCTTTGTTTTGGATTAGTATATTGTATGAACTATGCCCCTGTGGTTTCTTAGACACATCATGGTTAGAACAAACCATGTGAGGGGTGAATCCAACTTTTTTGTTAAGGGATTTTAAACTTTTACACTTATGTCCTCTCTTTAATATTGGCCAGTCTTTATACTAATGAACATAATTGCTGTTTTATTAATTTATAAAGAATAATCCCAATAATTACCCATAAATGTAAAGGAAGTAGGTTGCTGGGAAATTGGGATATTTCTATTTCAGAGCAGAACTTCTATTTGGCCACTGTATGACAAAATTCTGGACTATAATGGTCTAAGGATGATTATGACAATGATAAAACCCTATCTTTATATCACTTCTCATCAAAACCCTAGGTGGAGCCACTGTTTATGATTTAAAAATGGGAGCAATGCTGTTTCTCTAATCTACATCAAAAACACTGAATTTGGTGTGCCAGATGGAGAAAGGAGATTGTGTGCTAACTTCCCATAGATTTAAATTTGTGGAAATAGTACAGAACATGCAGTAATTGTTGGTTTTTTTGTACATTTGTTTTGTTTTGAAGGGTAAGTTGCATATCTTCTCTACGTATGATCTTTGTAAATTCAACAATATAATGTAAAGACAGAATTGGCTTTCTTTAACAGCACAATGCAGTGGTTTTTATAGTACTCAAGAGTATGTAGCATTTTGTCAACTCACTAATAAAACTGTTGCTTTGAAGCTTGACTACTTGGAATAGGCATTATATTCTCCAGCTAAAGACATAGGGACAAATATCCATATGCAAATCTCTTGGAAAATACTTCGTCAGGATCTTGGGCAAAGATTTTTTGCTGAAATCACTTTTGAAGTTTCACTTTCAGTTATGAGCTGATTACCCTTTAAGGAAATTGTCCTAATTAAGTTAAAGTCTTAAAAATTTCTTTGTGTCTTTCATTTGCTAGCAAACATTTCTTAGCCTAACAGCTTGCTGTATCTGCAAAGCAGCTCATTGTCCTTTGCAATCTTCATTTTGCCTATAGCTCTAATTTAATCCAAACTGTCAATTTGGAGTAAATTAGTTGCTGCTACTGACCAAGCAAAAATAAGGGATTCTGAGATATTACCCATGAAACCTGATGCTTGCTGTGGAACAATTGCCATGAGGTAGCTAATTATAAACATGGCATGTAATGTCAATGGTGTGAGGGAGTTTTCTTACAATCAATCAATATTGCAATATTTTATTTTTAAAGCTATGTTCTGGTTAGTTTCAGGAGATGATGGAGCATCTCATTATATTGTAGAGATTGCTGTGCCACTGATCAGATTTTGTAACTTGATGTTATTATGCTTTTTAATAGAATCATCAACTGCTTGTGATTTGTCTTTCATTTATTAGCACTTGCTCCGTTAGCAGAGAGATTGTTATTCTCTATCTGGTATGATTTAAGGAAGAAAGGAATGATTGTACCTTATTATTTCCTGGAAGAAACACGTTTGAATTTTTACAGTCCCAATTCTCTATGTAAAGTTGATACAATTGCTGGTCAGATTCTCAGAAATTTGAATTTGTATAACAAAAAAATTAAAAAGTGGACAGTTCTATAATAACAAAGGCCACCCTTGGTATTGTCCTTAGAAATGATTTGATTCTGCATCTCTTAGTCCAGTGTTTCTCAACCTTGACAATTTTAAGGCATGTGGACTTCAACTCCCAGAATTCCACAGCCAGCACTGCTGGCTGTGGAATTCTGGGAGTTGAAGTCCACATGCCTTAAAATTGTCAAGGTTGAGAAACACTGTCTTAGTCCATGCAAACATTGTTGGGATGAACCCCAGTTTATTCATTTGGCAGTTTAAGAAAAAATCTCGGACTCTGCAGGTGCTTGCCTGGAGATTTTTACATGGCAGAAGGTTACACTGAGATACCTTCCCCATAGGCAAGAAAATCTATGTAATTACAAAAGAAATGTTGCAAGTAGAGATTTGCAACTCTCTTAAGATTTCTTTTGGCCTACTAGTCCCTCTGGTAGTATGTTTTAAAACATGGCAAAATAAAGTTTTTACAAATCTAAACAAATATGCATGAGGCAGATGGAAATGCATTTATTTGAGTAAATGTGAGATGGACATGAAATATTTTTATCTTGATTAACCTCTAAAACACTCAGCATATGTTCTGTGGCACTTGTTTTTTCGGCGCTTTCTAGAATGATTATATGATATTTCTTTCGTTAGTATATATTCTGCTATGGATTCCTCTAAGAGTAAAATCCCTAAATCTGTTTCCAGAGAAAGCCTGTCCTACTCAGGCAGAGAGGGCCTGCTTCAGATCCTGTTGGTCAAAGAACCCCCATCTATCAGGATCCAGAAGAAGATCTCTGCTGCAGCACCCACATTTTGGAACTCCTTATCTTGTAAGGTAGGATCTGCTCCAAACCTTCTATCCTTCAGCCAGAGCCTAAGGACCCAAGGGGGAAGTTCCACACTGGAGATGGCTGCTGGATTAATGGCAGACTCTTACCTCCCCTTTGCTCTCTGCTCTCTACCCATCCATCTTTTTGATTATCTTACTGATGTATTTATTCTCATTGTGTTCCTTTGTCGTTGTTTACTCTATTGTTCTATTATTTTACTTCTGTTTATATGCCTTTTCATTTTTCTTCCTTTTTATTATTGTAAGCCTCCTAGAGAAGCCCCACGGCAAGATAGGTGGCAAAATAATTCAACGAACAAATAAATATGTCGATTAAAATTTCTTTTACATTGTAATATTTGAAAAAAGGGGGCTACAAATGTGTATGCTAGGTTTGCGTAACTCTAGTCATAGAAGAAAATGGATGGAGATGGATCTCTTGCAGCTAGCAGCTAACATATATTCGCTTTCTTTAGTTTAGCAAGCATCTGATGTTTCGCTACCCAAGAGGTCATGAGAAAAAGGCAAATAAGATAGTAAGACTCAAGAGCCTGTGTTTCTGAAGATTCTTGCCAGTGTTTTGACACAAAGAAAGGGACTTTCCTTGAATGTGCTATTGTTCTCCTTAAAATTTTCCATGAAGTACTATTTTGGCATTTCACTTTCTTTCCTGAAATAACAAAGTCGGAAGGAACATTGGGGGGGTCTTCTAGTCCAACCCCCTGTTCAGGCAGGGAACCCTATACCATTTCAGACAAATGGTTACCCAATCTCTTCCTAAAAACCTCCAGTGTTGGAGAACCCACAACTTCTGAAGACAAGTTGTTCCACTGATTAATTCTGTCAAAAAATTTATGTTTAGTTTTAGGTTGGTTATCTTCTTGATTAGTTTCTATCCATTGCTTCTTGTCCTGCCTTCAGGTGCTTTGGAGAATAGACTGACCCTCTAGCACAGTGTTTTTACTGCAGTTAAAAGGCAGTGCCTCCTTATCTCAGCCCCCCCTTAATCTCTTCTAAAAAACCTCCAGTGATGGACACACCTTCATGATGGATCACAGAAAGGAGGGTGGATGTGACAAATAGTCTATTATAAAATGCACATTTTCAATCTGCAATAAAGTTAAAAAGTTTTATCACTTGATGCTGCTAAACAGAATTCTGGAATATATCAGCTGTTCTTATAATGTTTATAATTCAGACTTTCTATTTGTGTTGTAAATGTACTGCTGTTCAGAACTAGAACATTCATGTACACCAAAATCTACCTTAAAACTGCTATGACAATCATTTTCTTATAACCGTTTGCTTTCAATCAGAACATCTCAAGGTCAAATGAATTTCTTTTCAACTGTGCAACCTTAAGCTTTGTCTGTCTTGACTCAGGATTCCACTCAGGCAAGCCCTTTTGTTTCCAAGTAGTTTTAATAGGTTAGGTGCATTGTAGTGTGAATGCTTGCTGCAATTAAATTTTACCCCCCACTCTTTTTGCCCTGGCAGGAAGCTGATGAGTTAACTCCTTCGGAAGCCTACCAGCTGCTATTGCTGTCACACTGCAAGAATGAGGAAAGTGTGAGCATTTTCTTTACCTTTAATTGAGGTTTTCCATTCCGTTCTTGTGTGATTTTCATTTGATTGGCTTTATACAATTCACACATCAAAAAATGGGGGAAGTAAGCCAGAAGCCTTGTTAACATTGCCTGCTGTTAACGTGGTTGATGTTGACTTGATATTCTTATGCTGCATGGTTGTCACTGTGTTTTTCATCCCTCTTATTAATGAATCCTTAACATTTTTCTAGCTCACTAAACCAAGTCAATCCATACATCCTCCAGACATCAGTTATTTCATTAACTATAAATATTTATCCATCATGATGCCATTTATTGCTTTGCGAAGGGTGTTTGGGGAGGTAAAAGGCTATTAGTATCAGACCTAAATTTGTGATTGCAAATGTTGATTTGTGAATTTCAAGCACAGGGGGAAAAGTCCATTCGTCTTGGGGCTTCCCACGATCATTGGTGGTTTCCCATAAAGAATATAGTTCTGGTTCTTAGGGCTTTAGAATGATATGCTTTAACCACACAACTAGGAAAACCTTTTGGAAGATAGTTCTTAGAAGAAAATTCCAGGCCTGGCTTTCCAAGTACAGAGGGCAAATTGCTGGAAACAGAGGAGAGGTTTATGGGAGAGCATGATAGACAATCATAGCAAGATAGACAGTTAGGGCAATCAAAGATAGCTACAAAGTTACAGTTTTGATGTGGTTACTTTTATAGACATACCTTTATTTTGTTTCTCCCAGCAATTATTGGAAAATGCAATTAGCTGCATGGCCAAAAGGGGGCACTCATTGGTTAGGCACCCTGGCTGAACTTGTGGGGTTTTTTTCCATTTATTTAACATTTTGTGGATAGGAATGGTAGTCACATAGAGGAAGGGACCTTTTGTTTATTAATGAGTGAAATCTCTGGTATCCTAAAAGGAATGTTTACCTGAATAGGCTGCTACCTTTGACTAATTTCAACCTCTTTGTCAAGTTTGTTATCTTTTGTTGTGTAATTTCTCACCTTTTACCCTGGAAATGATTGTGAGGTTGGACCTTGAGGAATAAGGGAAGATTGAATGGCAGGGAACATTTTGATTTCTTTTCCACACTTCTAATAGCTGAACTGTATGGTAATGTTACAATATTTTGCTATCTAAATACTTGCACCCCTTAACAGGATGCTAGCTAGGCATGAAACCCTAGTTTAATATTTCCAAACCATAATGAGTACAAAGAGCATGTCAACACTTCTTAAACCAAGTATCTCCCACCAGATGTGTGTGGGAAATGAATTGCAGACAAATGTTTCATTTATGTTCCATTATGCTCTGAAGCACTTTCCTGCTCTTGAAAATGAAATGCTAAATTCCTAAACCCTTTTTGGCATTCCATCACCCTTTTTCAACTGATACCAGACATGAAATTGGAAGCTCTTGAATATGTTCATTCCTGGTTAAGCTGCTTGGAAGTCTTTAAAAAAAATAAATTAACAAATGTTAATCTAGGGAACCCACTTAATACATATTTCTGAGGTATGGGTGCAATTCACTTCCAAATTGACAGGTACTCAATCTCCTTATTAAGGGAGATTTGAAGGACTTCTAACAAAGGTTCATTTTCAGATAGCCAACTTGTCATACTTTCCACTTTGATAATGTAAATTTTTTAAGTATATTAAAGCCAGTTGTTCTATTCTTTCCTTGACAGTATATTAAAGCCAGTTTTTCTATTCCTACTAGCTTAGGAGATCAGAACAGTTTACTCAAATCTTAGCAAAGTAGTTCAACGGCATAATGTGTAACTTGTGTTATTCCCTTAACAAAGTGGTAAAATATGGACTAGATGCAGTGATGGGATTCAAATATGGGAACAACCGATTCTCTGTGTGGATGCCGCTACCCGGAAGTCCATTCTGGGCCTGGGCAACAAAAAATTAGCCATGTTTCTGCTGAAGTGGTGTGAACTAGCTAAATCCCACCACTGACTAGATGACACAACTGTTAGATGGTCTCACAGTTGACTGAATGACTACATCCAAACCAGGTCCATTAGTTGGACCACATTTTAACTTGGAGGAAAGTATTGAGCGGAGGGCCACAGGGCTCTGTCCTGACTGCTGTACTGTACAACTTTTTAAATTAGTTACTTGAATGAGGGATACTTAACATGAATTGTGTGGAAGAAGAAAAAACAACAACTATGTAACATATAATACTTGGGCTACTGAATCTGGAGGGCAAAGTAATCCAAACTGAAGCATCCAAACAGTAAACTGTCCAGTCTCTGCTTTGTCAATTCTAGCAAAAGTTAGACAGCTTTCTGAGTAATTGATTCCACTGTTGAACTGCTCGTATTGTTTGAATTTCTTTCCTAACTTTCAATTAAAAACTTTTTTTTCTTCTAACTAAAATGTATTAATCTGTGTCATATCCTCTGTAATGATACCAAATAGGTCTTGATCTTCTGGGTGACACACTTTCAGATATTTGTAGACAGCGCTCACATCTCCCCTTTTCTCTAAAGCAAACATTTCTAGATCTTTGAATCTCTCTTTATATGACTTAATTTCTACTTCACCGTCACTGCCCTTCTCTGAATTTTTCTCAAAAGTGCATTGTCCAGAAATGGACATTACACAAAGAGATTTTAATCCAACTAGAATAAAATGGAATGTTGATTTGATGTAGAACCTGTATTTTTGTTGTTGCTGTTATTGTTAATGCCTAAAATAAGTATTAACTTCCTTTGCAGTACACCACATTGTTGAATCATCACTTGTAATCAACTACTATTCCCAGATCTTTTTCACAAGTACTACTGCCAAGCCAGGTAACCCTAATTCTGTCCATGGGCATATGATCTGTTTTTTTCTAAGTGAGTTAAATTCTGTTATTATCATTCTTTGAAATTTATTTCTGTCATTTTAGATAAATTTTCTCACCAGGTTTATGTCATTGTCAAATCAAATAAGCATTTCCATTACCTCATTAATAAATATATGTATAAAATACTGAAAAGCATAGTATATTGGGCTTGAATCTTGACACTGCTCTCAGTATCTCCTACCTCTTTGATAAAAACCTATTGATGGGCATAGAGTTTTTAAGCTAGTTATATATCTACAGTCTAGCTCACCATTAACTAGCTTAGTAATATGAGAGGCATTTGCATATATATAGATTTACCAAGTTCCATACAGTATATTGTAGATAAATGATTTGATTAAGCAACAATATTGGACACAGGTCAGTAAACCTGAGGTATAGTCATGATATATAATCCTAGTTTGCATATTTTCTTCATCTTGCTTGTCACAAGGCCCCTGCATCAATATCTTTCCCAGAACAACAACAAAAAAACAACAACAAACAAGATGCTATGATTATGCCTGCTCCAATGCAAAATCTATTTTAAACACATATAAAACCCATCATGGTTGACGTTTTCTTTAAAGAACAATATTAATTTTTATTTTCATTTCACAGCTCCATGACTTTATTTACAGAGCCTTGGTTCCAGCTTTATTAAGGTGAAGAAGATGTGCTAATCTAAGCAAATCTAAGCTTTTGTATACTACCAAACTCTACTGCTCTCAATTCTTTGTATCAGCCATGAAGTACAATATACATTTTAAAATGAGACTTGGGAATACCTGTATAGTTTGAGAAGCTTTTTCTGTTCAAAGTAATCTGTTTATGTATTATCAAATCAGTGTCAACTCTTAGCAACTACATAGAATATCTCGGGGATGATCCGTTCCCATCCTATTTCTTCATCTTCCAATGGCACACTCATCGGTACTATAATTGAGTCTATCTTCTTGCTGTTGGTCCTTCCCTTCCCTCCCTTCCCCTCCCATTTTTAGGAACATTTGAAGCTAGGTCTCATCATAATGTGTCAGGAATATGATTATTTGAACCTGATCATTTATTACTTGAATGAATAGTCTGGATTGATTGTTCTTCAGAGAATGAATTGACTGCTTCTTCAGAGTTCAGAGTCCATCTTCCTCTTGCGTAGGAAGCCATTGCTTATGTGACTAACCTTAAAACTTGGTAATTACCAGAGGTTCTTAGAAAATATGGAATTCCTGTTGAGATATCCTGGATGTTGACATATTTACTGTACAGAATTTTATTATACGCCTTCCATATTCGTTTGATCTATGGAATTTTTTAGCACAGGGCTTTTCAACCAGTGGTATGGGTACCACCTGTGGTACATTGACACCTGGCAGGTGGTATGCGACCATCCTAGAAAAGTGGTAGCGGGGGAGGGGAATGAGCTGAAATGGTGGCAGCACCGCACAAACCTGAGCGAGAGATGGCTGGAGCTGCAGGGCTGTCAGGGCTCAGCAGAAGCGCCAGGATCAGCACCAGGCTCCAGCTGGAACTCGGCATTGATCCTGGCGCTTCTGCTGAGCCCAGAAGAAGCACCAATCAGCTGGAATGTTGCAGCCTCTCCAGGGTCTTGTGATTCACATTCAGATGCTTGGCAACTGATTCATATTTATGACGGTCACAGTGTTCCAGGCTCATGTAAAGTGACCAAAACCTGCTGCAACCACCCGGCAGATGGGGGGAATAAAAACCAAACACCCCCACCCCACGCCCACAGCCAATCCTCAACAGAAATGCTCACAACGATGAAAACCTTGGACAGGAGGAAGAGCGCTGCCGGGTGGCAGGCAGTTGTCTTGCTCGGCTGTGGCTTGGGGGGGCACTTTTTTCAGTGCCATTGTAACTTTGAACAGTCACTAAGCGAACTGTTGTAAGACAGGACTACCTGTAGTTTATCACTTTTTTCCTTTTTTTTTGGGTCGTCAAGTTTTTGACACCTTGCTAGGCGACTAGTGGTACTCGCATGTTGTCATATCCTAAAAGTGGTACAGTGGGTGAAAAGGTTGAAAAACCCTGCTTTAGCAAACTAATTTGAGGTTGTTACCTCCTTCTGAGCATAGAGATCTTTTAGAAGGCTATCCTTATTTTTCTGTGCCCTTTTCCATCTTCAGTGTTATTACAGATGAAATTGTAATACTGGCTCTTGTGTCTTCTAACACCTTTTTAAAAAATACTTTTGTTAGGTCCTTCTTGAAATCTTGGTCTTTCGTGGCCTGCCTTCTAGGCAATTTCCACAAGTTGTTCTGACATCTAGTTTGCCTTCTTATGTTTTTGGGGACTTGGACATCTCTTTTCATATTCATCATTAATACTTTTTAAAAATTTCACTCCACAGTTCCTTTGGTTCCCTGTCCATGGGGTTCAGGACTTCAGAAAAATTCCTGATGTTCTCTTTGAAAGCGGTGAGTATTTGTCCAAAATCATATGAAGTCTTCTTCTATTTTAGCTTGACTTGAATTTCCACCTAAGCAGTTCATGGTTTGTTCCATGGTTAGCCCTGGCAAAACTTTCATTGTATAACTAAGCTCTTCCACTTCTTTGTATTAATAATATGGTCAATTTAATTTCTGCATACTCAGTCTGGTGATGTCCCTGTTACGTACGCATTGTTTGTTTAGATACTTGAAGATTGTATTAGCAATGAACAATAGCAATAGCATTTAGACTTATATACTGCCCCATAGTGCCTTACTGCACTCTCTGGGTGCTTTACAGTGAATAGAATGGAATGGAATGGAGTGGAGTGGAATAATAACTTTATTGCCACTTTGAATGTACACTAATCGGCATACATTAAAATAAAATTTCCTTGCATACAGCTCTCAAAGAGTCACCACCTCTGATATACACTACATAAATATGACAAAAATAAATAAATAAATACAGAATTATGCATATGCCCACATATATTGTGTGACACAGAGAAACAACACAGTCTAGTTCGGATTATGTATACAGGTGCATGGCGAGAAAAACAAATCTTACGAGTTTATCAGATGGATGGCATATGGAACAAAGCTATTACAGAATCAGGTAGTTCTGCTAGAAATACTTTGAAACCTCCTCCCAGAGGGGAGGAGTAACTATTATGTAACTATTATTTACATATTTTCCCCAACAACTGGGTCCTCATTTTACTGACCTCAGAAGGATAGTCCTCATTTTACTGACCTCAGAAGGATGGAAGGTTGAGTCAATCTTGAGCCCCATCAGGATTGAACTCCAGGCTGTGGGCAGAGTTTTCCTGCAATACTGTACTTTAACCATTGTATCACTAGGATTCTAACATAAATCAAATTGTTGAATTCAGTCAGCAACGTCCCCTTCTTCTGCATCAGTGGCTGGAGTAAAAATGTCATATTAAAGGGTTGTCCAAAAAGTCTTACAATATTCAGTCTTTGAGAGTTTTGTATCCAATTATTACCAATGGTATATCCTTCGTCATTATAAAAGCTACACTGCATCGTCTTTGGCTTTTGAATCATCAGTAATAGTTTTTCAGTTTTTTTGATTTTCTGACTGAAAGTATTCAATTGCAGTCCATTTCAATTTGCTGATGCCTAAGACATTATCGTGTAATTGATTTGCTTCATATTTCAAGTAGCAAGCATAAAGATGCTGTGTTGAGCTTTTCCATCTTTATGCTTGTTATATACTATGTTCCCACTGTAATTTTTGTCTTTACAATTTTGGAAGACTTCTGAAGGGTTTAATTTAGCCATGTCATAAAGTATATTCTGAAACCACTTCAGCTACTTCCCCAGTAGCATGTTAAGTGCTATCCAATCTGAGGGGCCCACTCTCGGACACTGTATCATCACTCACTTTGTCTTGTCTATCCATGTAATTTTCTGGTAAAATACAGGATTGTTTTTTGTCTTCCCCACAGCATGAATTGATGTCTTTGCTATTGTCAGTAAAGTGATCATCCTCCTGAGTCTTCCTATTTGCTGTGTCCAGTTTAGTTGGTCAGTTGAGAAGTCTTTTGCACCTTAGGTGACCCTGCTTGGGAGTATATGCTCTTGACATACATTCCTGGTGCACCATGATGATGAGGCAGGATAGAAGGACCTATTTACTGTATAGCATTAATTATCTCATTTTTCTGGAATGAACATTCCCTACATCTGGAAATAAATTCCAGAAGTGCAATGAGCCCCTATTTAGTTAAATAATGCACAGCTGGATCAGAATACTCAAGGGAAATGATTAGCATTTCAAAAGTAATTCTGCAGCTGCTATGTTTTAACAGTTTTAATTTCTACACCCTGCTGCTTGAAGACACGTGCACAGATATGAGACAAACTAACATTTAATTCAGATTGATACCCAGTTAGATATTTTCATTGAATGAAAACTTAAACCTTTACTTTTGGATTTAAATTCACATTCATATTATTTAGTGGGATAATTATATGTTAGTGAATGCTTGAACTTGGAAACCTCTAATGTAATAAAAATATGGTGATGAAATAAAGCAAAAGCAAAAGAGGCAGTACACTTTCAAGCAAATCATGACTAGTGTATGTTCATTGAAAAGGTTACTGAGAATTATCAGAAATGCTGGGATGAAAGATCAAGGAACAGTTGAGTTTTCAGTCACTAGTCACAATTTCAGTAACTAAATTCTTAGTTCAGTCTACTGGTTAAAACACTGGATTAGGAACAGAGAAATTCAAATTTTAATCTTGCCTTAGGAATGGAAGCCAGCAACTTTGAACCAGTCATTCTTTCCCCATTCTTCCAAACTCCTCATAAGAAAACTTCAGGGACTAATCCATATATAGTATAACCAAGAATCAAGACTGGCTAGAAAGAACAACAATAACAACATGCCACTTAACTACAGATTTCTATTCAGTTTTGGAAACAAAGCTAATCAGATTTTTAAAAAAACATAAATGGGAAAGTAGTGTTTCTGATTTATTTAATATCTAAGTAATTGTGCACATGTGTCTTCTAATAGTATTGGAACTGCAATGCATATGGGTTTTCTAATTTATTTCAATGGAAGCAAGATTTCTTAATTATTATTCAAGTAGTATGTTTCAGTGTATGGAATTTTTTGGGTCCTTTACATTTTGCACATGATGTGACTGAAGGAAAGATGAGACCAAGGAGGGAACCTGGAATTCAATTCCTGGTCACCCTAATCCAGGGGTCCTCAAACTTGGCCACTTTAAGACTTGTGGAATTCTGGGAGTTGAAGTCAACAAGTCTTAAAGTTGGCCAAGTTTGAGGACCCTTGCCCTAATCTAGTGCCTAGAAATTAAAGGAAGTAGAGCTTTCTTATTTGGAAACCCCCCAGAGATGTAAAGGCTATATTGCAAAATAGCTGTTTTTGCCTCCACACCTTTTTG